CGAAACCTGAAAAACCTAAAGCCTTGAAAACACCCTAAACCCTAAACCCTAAACCCTAAACCCTAAACCCTAACTCGCAAATGTTTGATGTGACGCTCCTTGAGCTCAGAATTCTGCGTCCATGAAGTGAAGAACAGGTTTCGGGATGAGCTTAAGCCACTACATCCTAAACCCTAAACCCTACACCCTGAACCCTGAACCCTGAACCCTAAACCCTAAACCCTAAACCCTAAACCCATGCTTCTACTAAATGAATCCTGAAACCCTAAGCGTTTCTCGATTCACCAGCAACGCAACCGACGGCTTTCCCCCAAGTACCCGTTCTGCTTTCAACGGCTTCAAGGTTTAGGGTTTAGGGTTTAGAATTTAGGGTTTAGGGTTTACGGCTACCTACAGAAACCTTGTACTTCACGAAGAATGAGTTTGCCCAATGGGGTTTAGTTTCTCTCTTTGCCAGAGAAGGGAGCCCCTCACGGGCAGTTCTCTAAATTAGGTCCCCTTTTGGGCCCCTGCCCTATACAGCACGGCACCTTATAAGCAGGACCCCAAAAAGGGCCATCATTCGCAGAACTGCCCGCATGGCAGCGGTCGGCAATTCCATATGATGCATCTTAAGGATCAGTGTTTGGGCTTGCCTGGCCCATAGCACCAGGCTCACAATGTTGTCAGGTTCATGTTCAGATTTCGTGCTCCAAATCCCGTGTGGACGGAAGAGTCCGAACGAGGCCTTCAAATCCCCATCGGTGGATCAGTGGATCAGTTTTTGTCGCTGCTGGTTACAGGAGAAACCCTAAACCCGAAACCCGAAACCCTAAACCCTAAACCCTAAAAGGGTTTCAGGGATAAAGGCAACCTGTGAGTGGCCTGGATGCAAATGGGATAAAGGCTACTGTGATGGCTGCCTGGTAGGGTTGAGGGTTTGGTGCTTCACCCCTCCTTGCGTAGTGGTGGGGGGAAGTTATACCCAAAACCCTAAACCCTAAACTCTAAACCCCAAACCCTAAACCCTAAACCCCCCGGACTTTGGTCTTGTGAAGCCTCTGATGCAGGTTTCCCTCAGAAACGAGAAGCAGCTACGGATCAAGGCTGAGGCGCATATATTAGGGTTTAGGGTTTAGGGTTTAGGGTTTAGGGTTTAGGGTGGGGCAGGGCGAGGAGGGTTTAGAGGCTTTCCAGGCATTCGATATACTGGGGTTTATTCAGAGGTTATAGGGTTCCTAAGGATTATAAGGTTTGTAGGGTTTATGGGTTTGTAGGGTTTAAAGGGTTTATAGGGTTTGTAGGGGTTTACAGGGTTTGTAGGGGTTTCTAGGGTTTTATCGGGTTGACATGGTTTATAGGGTTTATAGGTTTCTTAGGGTTTGCGGGGGTTTCTCAGGTTTTACAGGGTTTGCAGGGTTTACAGGCTTTATAGGGTTGATAGTGTTTTAGGGTGTAGGCAAAGGCTAGTGGTGCCAGGGGACCCTTGCTGTTGTAATGCCGGCACCAGCAACATCATTCAGCTCCGCTCCTGCAAAACATGTGATGGCGATGACTCTAAACCCTTAACCCTAATTTGGGCCGTGTTGGTCTTACTTCATTCGCAATATCTGACTCAGAATAGTTGCTGCTGGCCTCATTGCGCAACTTGGCTAGGTGGACCGTTAGTACAACTTTAGCACTTTCTAAGTTTTGGGGTTCCTCGTATTATATTAAGGGAGCTAAAAGTTGAAAAAAATCATTGGGGGTTAAAGCACAACCAAGTTGGTGTGTGGTTACCAGGCTGCCCTTTTAACCTTGAAGGGGTTCCAGGCGCCCGAAACCCTAAATCCTAAACCCGAAGCTCTTTTTCCCGACGTCGTACACTCGAAGCCCCAAATGGTTTAGGGTCATGGGTTTACCTGAAGGTTCATGGGTAGTTATTCGCACCCTAAGGTTATACTATAGGGAGTTTTGAGTCTCTGAAGGTGTGAATATGGCTTGTTTTGAGTACCTCTTAAGGTTTCAATCTTTAGTATGGCCTTACTTTTTAACCCTACTTTTTACATACCCATGAACCGTCAAGTAGGATTTAGGGATTGGGTTTAGGATGGTGTCAAGCTTTAAGGGACTACAGGAGGGACCCTTATAAGGGACCTTAGGGGTCATTTAGGGGCTACTTAGGTATTGAGGGACTCGATAAGGTCTATATAGGGTTTTTCTAGGGGGCAACGAGACTCAGGGCCCCTTCTAGGGTTCCCTCCTTAGCCCTAAACCCTAAACCCTAAACCCTAAACCCTAAACCCTAAACCCTAAACCCTAATCAAGTATCCTTATACCCTTGAATCTTGGGTAGGCCGCCTTGGACACGGCCAAGTTGGCTCGGGAGGCGGGGTGCTCAGGGACTTGCGCCAAGACCCCGGAGGCGGACACCGATAGAAGGTTAGGGTTTAGGGTTTAGGGTTTAGGGTTTAGGGGAATACGCAAGGTATGGGATCGAGCTTAGGATAATAAGGGACCCCTAATGGAATCCCCCAAATACTAGGGATACCCCTCATAATAAGGACCCCAATAACGTACCCCTAATATCACAAGCCCTTGGACCCTAAACGCTAGGAACCTTGTGAAGCCTTATAAGACCCTATAAGCCCCTTTTCACCTTGCAAACCCTATAAGCCCGACACACCCCGAACACCCGAAGCCCTAAACACCCTTCAACACTAAGCCCTTAATTCCCTAAGCCTTAAAACCCTCCCATAACCCCTAAACCCTAAACTCCCTAAACCCTAAACTCCCTAAACCCCTAACCCCTAAACCCTAAACCCTAAACCCTGAACCCTAAACCCTAAACCCCGCTTGGGCGTTGGGCCGGAGCTGTTAGGCGGTCTCAGCAGCCGATCTCTGCGGCTTCGGGCTTACAGTTGGGTTTAGGGTTTAGGGTCTAGGGTCTAGGGTCTAGGGTTTAGGGTTTGAGGATACTTCAAGGTTCATGGGCACTTGCAAGTAGGGTTATAGGCAAGGTAACCTATATTGCAATCTGTTAACCTGAATTATGGTACTTCATACCCTACTTATGCATGCCCATGAAACTACAAGTAGGGTTTAAGGGGTTATACAGGGTTTAGAAAGACAAAGATGCGCGGGCACACGCACGCGTGTACATACGCGACCATATCTTAAAGAACTTTTGACATGAACTGCAGTTCCATCTTTATACCCACTTCTTCATTCTGTTGTATAATCATGCAGCACCAGAGAACTGCAACCCTATCAGGCCTAAACGCCTACTCCGGGTCAGATAGGCAGGTGGCGTTCAAAAGCAACCCAAAATCCTTCCTGCACCTCTAAACCCCTTACAAGCCCTCAACCGCTTCTGAGCCCTAAACCCATCCCCAACGCCCCGAACTGAGCTGGCCCTTAGGATATATAGAGTTGATTTTTGGCAACAAGGGGAGCATATCAAGGAACACTTCGGGTTTCAATGGGGCCAACCTAGCCGCTAAACCCTAAACCCTAAACCCTAAACCCCAAACCCCAAACCCTAAACCCTAAACCCTAAGCCCTAACCCTGGGCGGTCCAGGCCGGCGCTGCGGAGAGCAGGCTGCGGGACGGAGCTGGGAGATGCTCCAGGCTTTAGGTTTGGGGTGTAGGGTTTAGGGTTTAGGGTTTAGGGTTTTAGGGTTTAGGGTTTTAGGGTTTAGGGTTTTAGGGTTTAGGGTTTAGGGTTTTAGGGTTTAGGGTTTAAGGTTTAGGGTTTTAGGGTTTAGGGTTTAGGGTTCAGAGTTTTAGGGTTTAGGGTTTTAGGGTTTAAGGTTTAAGGTTTTAGGGTTTTAGGGTTTAAGGGCTTAGGGTTCAGAGTTTTAGGGTTTAGGGTTTTTAGTTCTAGGGTTCATGGGTTTTAGGCTTGTTATAGGGTGTCGGACCATCTTCCAGTCAACATAGGGAATGCTTGGGCCTTAAAGTATCTCCTATAGGGGGACTTTGGGGCTCAAAGTATGCAAGAATGAGGTACATGGAGTTTAGGGTTTAGGGTTTAGGGTTTAGGGTTTAGGGTTTAGGGTCTAGGGTCTAGGGTCTAGGGTCAGGGCACAGGGGAGAATACTACTGTCAGGTGATTTTGTGGCCTTGATTTGCACCCTCGTCACTTTATGTTGGGCCCTACATGTCAGAATCAAGTATCACAACATCCCTCTCGCCGTTGTGCAAGAGGATGCCTTGTCTTGTCAACCTCGTGGTCTGTGCTGGCTTTAGGGTTTAGGGCTTACGGTTTTGGGTAAGTGTTAGGATGTGGCGCACAGGTCAGGTTTCATGTTGGATGTGTAGCTGCCTCTCCGTACCTTCCAGAGCAGGCAGACAAACACGGCCGAGTTGGAGGAAGCCATCGGCAAAGTGGCCGAGCTCGAGGAACCGCAGGGACTGCGCTATGAGGTAGCCCAGCTTGTGGTGGGTTTAGGGTTTAGGGTTTAGGGTTTAGGGTTTAGGGTTTAGGGTTTAGGGAAACGTGCAGAGCAAGGCCCAGCGCTTAACGCAGCAGGTCGTGACAGAGTTGCCTGCGCCGTCCGTCCGCCGTAGGTGCGTTGCAAGACAGAGGGGTAGATCCGAAACCCTAAGCCCTAAGCCCTAATCCCTAAACCCTAGCCTTATAAGCCCTCAGGACATGCTGGAGAAGCAGGAAAAAGACTTTCAAGAGCAGCGGCGTGGGTCCCAAGATGAGGATGGACAGGGCAACCCATCTGAAGGTGGGTTCAGGGCTTCTAAGGCCTTAGGGTTCGGGGTTTAGGGTTTAGCGTTTAGGGTGATTAGGGTTTAGGACACACTGGGAGGTATGTGGGAGCCTGAACCCCGAAAAGTATCTCACGCTCAGGCGCGAGAAGGCAACGGATGGGGGCACTTTTAGTGATTGGGTTTTACTTTTACGCAGGGTTTCGGATGAGCCCAAGTGTTGCCGTGTGTACACTGCCGGCCTTTGGCTGCAGCATCCTCACCACGTCATAGCTTTGCGCCCTACCTCCTGCGCCCCCTTTTCTCGTGTCCTCAAGCCATGCGCGAGCTCGTCCACATCCAGGGAGGACCTCTGCGTGCGGAAGGAATGTTCGTAGCATCTTGTGGTGCTGGGGCCGCGGAGCGGTAGAGAAGTGGATCGTGCAGTAGGGGTTCTGAGCTAAACTGCTGAATCAAGAGCTCCCTCCTCTCACTGAGCGCAGGTTCTGAGCTGGTTTGTTGAATCACCAGCTTCTCAAATTTTCACATCAGTGCGCAGGGCAATGCGGGAACCAAATCGGCGCCAAGTTCTGGGAAGTAATCGCCGACGAGCACGGCATTGACCCTACAGGCAAGTCCATGTGAGACAGGGAAGATAATCCGGAGGGCCCGGACAGGCAGTGTTGGGACATGCGCATGTACCCCAGCCCATTGCAGGCACCTACCATGGCGACTCCGATCTCCAACTCGAAAGGACCCTGCGTGCAGCAATCATGTCGTGAGTATGGGTTGCCGCCCACCCCGGCCACATGCTTTAGATCCAGCCAGGTAATTAGCGCACTTCACATTCTTCAGCAGATTCTGTGGAACTCGTGAGAGGATCAACGTTTACTTCAATGAGGCGATCCCCACTTTGTGGCTACCTTGATTCAGCTTACACTCAGCTGTCCCCTTGCTTCGGGTCGGCGCTCGGGATCACTCGGGTTTTTCCATGGCGGCTGCAGTTCAATCGCGTTGCGGCTTCGACGTGACTGCATCCTCGGTATATCCTCGATGCCTTTCTTCTGCCTCCAAATAAGCGCCACATCCTCCAATGAGAGGCGACTGGAGGTCGCTACGTGCCGCGTGCCGTCTTGATGGATCTTGAACCAGGCGACGCCTGGGTGAACATGGTGGTGTAGCCAACCGCCTATAGGCCATGATTGCATGGAATGGCGCCGGCCACGGTGTGTTCGAAGACAACGATTTTCAACACTCCTGCCAACGCCATGGTGTTTTCGTTGAATTTGTCGTCCGTCTCATCTTGTTAAGCCCAGTCAGTGCCATAGATATGCCTGAATGCAATTATGACATGCCAGTATGTACTGTACTGTCACTGCAATCAAATATGGCGCTGGTTGCAGAGTTTTGTGGGGTGAAGTGTTTGGAGAGGGCTCACGGTTGCATTTGTGATTTGTTCGGATCGCTGCTTAGTACTTGCGTCTAGTCGATTGGTTTTCTTGCTGCTGCAAGTGTTCGGGCTGTCACTGTCATTGAGGCCCAGAAGTTTCGAACCCTTGAGAACCTTCGAAGGCACGATGGACAGCGTCCGAGCTGGACCTTTCGGGCAGCTGTTCCGTCCTGACAACTTTGTCTTTGGGCAGACGGGAGCTGGGAGCCTCAGACGATCAATGAGGTAAGCTTCGTAAGAAACTTCATCGGGTTGGTGTTTCGATGTGTTTTTTTTCCACACCTGGCCGGACCCAATCGGCCCAAGGTAAGAGGCTAAGCCTTGTTGGGGCCCGGGCGTTGGACGCGTTGGACAACTGAGGAATAACTGGGCCAAAGAGACTTGGACCTGTTGATATACGGGGTCGTGTTTGTTTCTTTTGGCATGCGGCATGCGACTGTCAGCATTCGGTTTTTCCGCCGTAGAAGCAGCTGGCAGTGCATCCTCGACAGCATGCAGTGCGTGCTCGGTTTTGCTGAAATCAGGGACACTACACGGAGGGTGCCGAGTTGATCGACAGCGTGCTGGATGTGGTGAGAAAGGAAGCAGAGGGCTGCGACTGCTTGCAAGGCTTCCAGCTTTGCCACTCGCTCGGCGGAGGCGTTGGCTGGGGATTGCGTTTTTTCTTTCTTCATGTGGCATCATGAGTAAGAGGCGTGCGCGTGAGAGTGGCTTGAGGAACTGAAGGCTCTTGAACGGTTTTTGGTGGGAAGTGCAGAGCTTGTGTGAGAGCGTGAATCACAAATTCTGCCCAATGTTGAGTCGTGCCCGGCGTAGCCCAATGGCAGGCACTGGGGCCGGCATGGGCACGTTGCTGGTGTCAAAGGTGCGTGAGGAGACGGGGTCACAGTGTCTTTGTGCTCTTCTGATCCAGAGAGAGAGAGAGAGAGACCGTTTGACCCGACTAATTTGCAAGCTGAACGTGACGACGTGTCTTGCCATGCCTTTTTGCAACGCCGCCCCTAGCAAAGGACTGTTAGGGGTGTGGCATCATGACAAGCTTTTACGCAAAAAGGAGTACCCGGATCGCATCATGGAGACGTTCTCCGTCATTCCCAGTCCGAAGGTGTCCGACACTGTCGTCGAGCCGTACAACGCCCCTCGGCTCTGCTGTTGCACTTGCATCTCAGCCCGCGAACCGCCCAAATATCCCCAAATCTTCCACGTAAAAACCCCAGCTTGAGAATTCACTAGCCCTCAACAGTCGATCTCAACGTTTTTTGCCGCCCGGCATGTGTCTTTTTTGCCTATGGTGGCCCCGGATGTTCGGCAGGCCGTGCTGAGCTTCCACCAGCTCGTGGAGAATTCCGATGAGTCCTTCCTGTTGGACAACGAGGACTGACAGAAGGGCATCGTTTGGAAGCATGATACAGAGAGATACAGAGATCAGCTGTAGTGCGGACATGTGTGGATGATCTGGTGCTGCATGCTGCAATTAAGCTGGACTTGTCAAGTGCGCAAATTCGGCAACATGAAATGACAATTCGACGTAGAACAGGCCCTGTATGACATCTGCTTCAGAACGCTGAAGCTGACGACACCGACCTATGGGGACTTGAATCACTTGGTGTCTGCGGCCATGAGTGGCGTCACATGCTGCCTGCGCTTCCCAGGGCAGCTGAACTGTGACTTGCGTAAGATCGCCGTGAACCTGGTGCCCTTCCCGCGGCTTCACTTCTTCATGACGGGCTTCGCTCCGCTGACGTCCCGGGGGTCGCAGCAGTACCGGGCACTCACCGTGCCTGAGCTTACGCAGCAGCCGGGCCATTTCTTGGAAAGTTGTGTGCCGAGCATCCATATGCCATATACTGTAGATTTGACCCGTTCCGCACTGAGTCACTGAGTCCGCACTTTCTCACTTAAATCATTATTTCAAATTTCGCGTCAGTCACTCGGATCCTGGAGAAGATGCTCCTTTCCAGATACAAGCCTTGGGTCGCGCAGATTCAAAAGACTGATGCCACCGAGATCTTGCTATCTGTCGAGGCCCACATTGCTCACGCCACCTCCACGGGCCAGCAATGTATTTTCCGTCAAAGCGATCTGAGCAATTGCTTCACTCGCCTGGATGTGGACATCGCCAAACAATTGGCGCAATGGTTTGGGATGCTCCCCAAACACGCCGAGCTTTACTTTGAGCTCAATCGTCGCAGGCCCGCTGTCATCAAGGCTGGCTCGGCGGTTAGTCAGTGGCAGGTTCCAGACAGGGGCATGCCCCAAGGTGATCCGGTGAGTCCTCTTGCAGCGGCCTTGTATGCGGCGGCTCATGAGGCCGTGATCCGGAATGACTTCCCCGCGGCTTCCTTCTACACGTTTGTGGACGACCGCACGATATGCACAACACAGGAGCAGCACATGACAGGGGTTGTGAACCTTCTTCGTGAACTTGATCATCTCAGTGGACAAGCCGAAGACGCTACAAAGGAGGAAATGGCTATCGTCAATGCAGTACCAGAAAGCCGTGATCTTTTCCCTCACGCGCGGGACGAGTACATTGACTTGTTGGGCATTCGTTTTGACCTCAATGGCAAGGCCGCTCCCAGCACTGCCCCCAGAGCCCGGGCTCGCTTCAAGGAGCTCGGGCTGCGGGTGGAACGTTTGGGCAAGATCACGCGCAATTTGCAACTGGGTTCTTCGCAGCTATGCAAGGTGATGATCGCCACAATGGGCCTTTTTCGATGGGATGCCGCGTGGATCTCGTGCAATTATTCGGAGGTCAAGTCCTTGGCCACGAAGATTGAAGTTACTTTGCAGGCTCGGAAACGCTACGCGGCATGGCGCCATCGTGGAGCTTCTTGGGTTTTGCAGCCGAAAGGTTGGCATGTCGAACCTATCGCTTTAATAACCTTTGCGGCGATCTGTGCTGGTCGACGATTGCAATTCTCTTCCTGGCGCACCGTCATCGAGCATGCTTGGTCCCAGCCGTCCGGTTTTCGCAAAAGCTTGGTGGATCGCATGAGGGATGCCTACGAGCGTGTGGGCTGGGAGGCTACAGATTCTCCTTGGACGGTTCAGACCCCGCAAGGCAGTTTCGACCTCAACATGATCAGCCGGGCCGTTTTTGGACACCTCCTGCGACAAGGGTGGAGACATTACATGATGAAGTGCCACAACTCTTGCAGACACGTTTGCATTGATGTGGATAGTATCGATGTCGTTCCTTTGCGCAAGTTTGTGGATGCAACGGTTCCTTCTTCAAGAGCTTTGGCTTGGCGATGCGCAGTTGCGGCAGAGCCCAACCATGAGAGGATGGCTCATATTGATCCAGTCACCTTCCCTTCTCAGGCGTGCCCCCACTGTGGCGCTCAGCGCGCTACCACCTTTCACCTCATGTATGAATGCGATAGCTCTGCTGCTCTTCGGGCAGAGCTGGATCTACAGCCCGACGCCCTCGGTGGTGATCTGGCAGGGTCTCAACGAGCGGCTTGGTTGCAGAACGGTTGGGCGCAGTGGGTTCCTCCACCTGCGGCTGGCGATTGGACTTGGCACAGAATCACTCAGTGGATTGAGGAAGTTCGTGCTTTGCTTGTGGCTCACCCTCCCAAGCTTTTCAATGGTGAGTTTCTCATTGCGACGGATGGCAGCGCGCAGTCACCAGCAGACCCGGAGACTCGAGTGGCAGCTTGTGCTGCGGTGTGGCGAACGTCTTCTGGTTTAATTTCCTGGTCCCAGCCTTTAGGCAATATTGAGAACACGGTCAATGCTGCTGAGTTGGTCATAGTCGTCGTGGTGGCAAAGGCGGCGGAGGCAGCGTCTATGGCTTCTTCTTTGCGTATTCTTACAGATCATGAAAGGGTTCCTGCAGCTTTCAAGAGCAGCAAATCTTCGTGCGACAAAGTTTCTCTTTGGAATGCTCTGAAGGAGGTTCACCGAGATGCTGGTTTTCGTCTGAGTTGGGTTCCTGCGCATGGCAAGCATGCACATGTTCATGTTCCTACGGAGTGGAGAGAGCTCAACATGGAGGCAGATCGCCACGCCAGCTTAGCTGCTCGTGGCGCCGTACACTTGCTGATTCCTTGGATTGGCGAGGTAAAGAGGAAGCGGCAGCGCGCCGCAGATATCCTCAGGCTTAAGCTTGAGGTCTTTCGACCTACACATCTTCAGCTTCTTGCAGGTGCTGGAGTTCGTTCTTGAGTTCTACATGTGGAGTGAAGACGTTGTCATCTTGCTCTACCTTTTCCTAATTTCACACGTCAGTCGAGGCAGCAGCAGACCCGGAGACTCGAGTGGCAGCTTGTGCTGCGGTGTGGCGAACGTCTTCTGGTTTAATTTCCTGGTCCCAGCCTTTAGGCAATATTGAGAACACGGTCAATGCTGCTGAGTTGGTCATAGTCGTCGTGGTGGCAAAGGCGGCGGAGGCAGCGTCTATGGCTTCTTCTTTGCGTATTCTTACAGATCATGAAAGGGTTCCTGCAGCTTTCAAGAGCAGCAAATCTTCGTGCGACAAAGTTTCTCTTTGGAATGCTCTGAAGGAGGTTCACCGAGATGCTGGTTTTCGTCTGAGTTGGGTTCCTGCGCATGGCAAGCATGCACATGTTCATGTTCCTACGGAGTGGAGAGAGCTCAACATGGAGGCAGATCGCCACGCCAGCTTAGCTGCTCGTGGCGCCGTACACTTGCTGATTCCTTGGATTGGCGAGGTAAAGAGGAAGCGGCAGCGCGCCGCAGATATCCTCAGGCTTAAGCTTGAGGTCTTTCGACCTACACATCTTCAGCTTCTTGCAGGTGCTGGAGTTCGTTCTTGAGTTCTACATGTGGAGTGAAGACGTTGTCATCTTGCTCTACCTTTTCCTAATTTCACACGTCAGTCGAGGCAGATGTTTGACGCCAAGAACATGATGTGCGCGGCTGATCCTCGCCACGGGCGCTACTTGACGGCCGCCGCGCTCTTCCGGGGCAGGATGTCCACCAAGGAGGTCGACGAGCAAATGCTCAATGTGCAAAACAAGAACTCCTCGTACTTTGTGGAGTGGATCCCGAACAACATCAAGGCAAGCGTCTGCGACGCTTTGACGTGCTTTGGGAGGGTTTCCAGACATTTTTTCCCGTGGAAGCTGAGGAGGAGCGGTGGTCGTACGACTTGTTGAGTAAACTGGGGGTGGGGATTGCAAGTACATGACACGGATGTCGTGAAGTGAGCGCCTGCACCCCAAACCCTAAACCCTAAACCCTAAACGATCCGTTCGGAGTTCAGGGCGCTGAGAGCCCCTGAGACTCAGCCGAGGACATCCCGCCCAAAGGTCTGAAGATGGCCGTGTCCTTCGCGGGCAACTCCACCGCAATCCAGGAGATGTTCAAGAGGGTCGCGGAGTACTTCACCGCCATGTTCCGGCGCAAGGCCTTCTTGCATTGGTACACGGGTGAGGGTATGGATGAGATGGAGTTCACGGAGGCCGAGTCCAACATGAACGACCTCGTGTCGGAGTACCAGCAGTATCAGGACGCGACCGCCGAGGAGGAAGGCGAGTTCGACGAGGAGGAGGGCGAGTATGACGGGTGAGGGCTCAGCTGCTTGCCAGGGTCCCCACAAATAACAAGCCGGGCCTGACGCCTGAGTCGCGCATGGATGGTGCAGACCTTCTGAGGCCGCAACTCTCGCGACGGGGCCAGGGCGAATTTAACCTTTGCTTGCGCTTTCAAGAAAATCTTGAAAGCTTACTGAACATATCTGACATATATCTATCTGAACGATCTGCTCTCCCACAGGTGCGCGAGCACAGCTGTGTTGTATAGCCAGCAGCCAAAACAGATCGAGGCGATCGCTCAGCGAGCTTCTCTCATGAACTGCGATCATCTGCGATCTTATCTATGATCATCTGACATCCGGCAGCGCACGGCCTGTTCACGTATTCACGTCTCCCAAGACAGTCCAGTACTCGTCGGAGTTTTGGGATGCAGAGGTTGGATGTTTTGGAGTTCCATCCTTTTTTTGTTGCTCGCACCAAGGGTCCGTGCGGCATTCACTGTAGCACGACCTCAGCCCAGCACTTGTATACACTTCTAAGATGTTCTAGCAAGGAACCTCGAATGAGAAGGAGTTGGTTTGGATGTGCCAAGCCTGCTGTGTTTGAGTTCAGGCTAAGCTGCTGGCGCACGTGCTCAGTGCAACAAAGCAAGTTTCTCCCCTGCCGACCTTTGGCTACAGCGCGCCCGCCACGTCATAGCTTTGCGCCCCACCTCCTGCGCCCCAGTTCATCGTGTCCTCAAGCCATGCGCGAGCTCGTCCACATCCAGGGAGGACCTCGGGGTCCGGAATGAATGTTCGTGGCCTTTTGTGGCACGGGGGCCGCCCGGGCGGTAGAGAGGTAGTGAGCTGGTAGGGCTTCTCAGTAGCGTTGCTGAGCCAGTTTGTTGAATCACGAGCTTCTCCTAGCACAGCGCGCAGGCCAATGCGGGAACCAAATCGGCGCCAAGTTCTGGGAGGTAATCGCCGACGAGCACGGCATTGACCCTACAGGCAAGTCCATGTGCGTCAGGGAAGATAGTCCGGAGGGCCCGGACAGGCAGTGTTGGGACGTGCGCATGTACCCCAGCCCATTGCAGGCACCTACCATGGCGACTCCGATCTCCAACTCGAAAGGACCCTGCGTAACTGCGTGCAGCAATCATGTCGTGACAATGGTTAATGACAGCAATGTCCAGCCAGCTAGTGCAACTAGCACCCTTCTTCAGCAGAGTTCTGAGTTGAATCCCTGAGAGGATCAACGTTTACTTCAACGAGGCGATCCCGCTTTGCGGCTTGTGGCTGAAGACAATGTAGCTTAGGCTTAAGGCTTAGGCGTCCCCTTGCCTCGGGTCGACCTTCGGGGTTCAATCCCCCGGCATGACAGCCTCCTCTGTATTCCCATTGTGCTCTCTTCTTCTGTCTCGAATCACAGTTCGCAGTTCGCAGTCGCGCGACCGCAAGAAAGTGAGAGGCGACTGGGGGTCGCTACGTGCCGCGTGCCGTCTTGATGGATCTTGAACCAGGCGACGCCTGGGTGAACATGATGGTGTAACCATGTGTAGCCAACCGTCTATAGGCCATAGTTGCATAGAATGGTGGGTTCGAAGACGACGTTCCTTTGCCAACGCCATGGTGTTTTTTGTTGACCTTGTCGTCCATCTCATCTCTTAGAACCCAGTCAGTGCCATAGATATGCCATGACCTGCCATTCTGACGTGCCATTATGTACTGTCGCTGCAATCAAGCATGTCGCTTGAGAGCGTAGTTTTTTTTTTCAGAAAGGGTTGCAAAGTTTTGTGGGGTGAAGGGTTTGGAGGGGGCTCACTGCTGCATCTGTGATTTTGTTCGGATCGCTGCTTACTACTTGTGTCTAGTCGATTTGTTTTTTGCTGCTGCAAGTGTTCGGACTGTCACTATCATTGAGGCCTACCCTAAACCCTAAACCCTCAACCCTACTGTAAGTTTCGAACCCTTGAGAACCTCTGAAGGCACAATGGACAGCGTCCGAGCTGGACCTTTCGGGCAGCTGTTCCGTCCTGACAACTTTGTCTTTGGGCAGACGGGAGCTGGGAGCCTCAGACGATCAATGAGGTAAGCTTCGTAAGAAACTTCATCGGGTTGGTGTTTCGAGGCGTTTTTTCACACCCAGCCGGACCCAATCGGCCCAAGCTAAGATAGAGGCTACGCCTGTTGGGGCCCGGGCGTTGGACTCGTTGGACAACTGAGGAATAACTGGGCCAAAGAGACTTGGACCTGTTTATATATTTGTCGTCTTTGTTCCTTTTGGCATGCGGCATGCGACTGTCAGCATTCGTTTTTGCGCCGTAGAAGCAGCTGGCAATGCATCCATGCAGTGAGTGCTCGGTTTTGCTTAAATCAGGGACACTACACAGAGGGTGCCGAGTTGATCGACAGCGTGCTGGATGTTGTGCGAAAGGAAGCAGAGGGCTGCGACTGCTTGCAAGGCTTCCAGCTTTGCCACTCGCTCGGCGGAGGCGTTGGCTGGGGAGCGTGTGTGTGTGTGTGTGTGTGTGTGTGTGTGTGTGTGTGTGTGTGTGTGTGTGTGTGTGTGTGTGTGTGTGTGTGTGTGTGTGTGTGTGTGTGTGTGTGTGTGTGTGTGTGTGTGTGTGTGTGTGTGTGTGTGTGTGTGTGTGTGTGTGTGTGTGTGTGTGTGTGTGTGTGTGTGTGTGTGTGTGTGTGTGTGTGTGTGTGTGTGTGTGTTTTTGTGTGTGTGTGTGTTGTTTTTTGAGGCGTGCGCTTGAGAGTGGCTTGAGGAACTGAAGGCTCTTGAACGGTTGTTGATGGGAAGCGCAGTGCTTGTGTGAGAGCGTGCGTCGTAAGTTGCGTCCAATGTTGAGTCGTGCCCGTCGTAGCCCAATGACAGGCACGGGGGCCGGCATGGGCACATTGCTGGTGTCTAAGGTGCGTGAGGAGACGGGGTCACAGTGTCCTTGTGCTCTTCTGATCGACAGAGAGAGAGAGAGAGAGAGAGAGAGAGAGAGAGAGAGAGAGAGAGAGAGAGAGAGAGAGAGAGAGAGAGACCGTTTGACCCGACCAATTTGCAAGCTGAACGTGACGACGTGTCTTGCCATGCCTTTTTGCAACGCCGGCCCTAGCAAGGGACTGTTAGGGGTGTGGCATCATGACAAGCTTTTACGCAAAAAGGAGTACCCGGATCGCATCATGGAGACGTTCTCCGTCATTCCCAGTCCGAAGGTGTCCGACACTGTCGTCGAACCGTACAACGCCCCTCGGCTCTGCTGTTACACTTGCATCTCGCGAACCGCCTAAATATCCCCAAATCTTCCACGTTAAAACCCAGCTTGCCAGGCGTAAGACTTCTATAGGCCTTAACAGTCGACCTCACCGTTTTTTGCCGCCCATCATTTGTCTGTTTTGCTTATGGTGGCCCCGGGTGTTCGGCAGGCCGTGCTGAGCTTCCACCAGCTCGTGGAGAATTCCGATGAGTCCTTCCTGTTGGACAACGAGGACTGCGGGACATCGCGTGGAAGCATAACGCAGAGAGATACAGAGAGCAGCTGTAGTGCGGGTATGGGTGATCTGGTGCTGCATGCCCACAATTAAGCTGGACTTGTCAAGTGCGCATTCAGCAACATGAAATGGCAATTCGACTTGTCGCAGGCCCTGTACGACATCTGCTTCAGAACGCTGAAGCTGACGACACCGA